GTCTGGAAAAGGCAATGAAATAAAGTCAGTTTATGTGTTCCTGTCTTAGACGGTTCTTTTCCACTGGATTCTCTGAAGCCAATAGTCCATCCTGCAAACTACCAGAACCTTTAGGAGTCTTTCCCTCTAATAAATCCTCCTCTTTGGGATCCTGACTGAGTGCCAGCCATCACACCAAAGGTACCTGCTTTATTTTCCATGTTAACAGCGGCTACTGGTCTGACCGGAACCCCTCTGAAAATCTATGATGGTCCAGACAGGATGAGTGACACCAGAGCAAATAAATGACCTGAAGACTGCTTTCAAAATAAGCTGAACTTCCTAAACACCTCATCTCAACCAAAGACTGACCTCCTGCATGCCAGAGAGTCCCAGCGTGAGTCCAGATCCAAAAATGACTGTAGATACAGAACAGAACGTAATTTTCTGAGACACTAAATGTTGGGTTTTTATTCTAGCTGTGAGTCAGAACCAGAAAACTAACCAGAAAAATTAGTCTGGTGACAGAATCAATGAGTTCCATTTAAAACTAATTTAGAGGTTTAGCTTGTTGGTCATTTCTGAACCCTCTATTCTCAGTCTGCTCACTACCACAGGGCTGACAGACCCTCAGTTTTCACCAGGACCGGTCCACATGACTCCCTGACAGCCGATCCTCCTAATGTGGCTTCATTAGGCGGCTGCTCGTCTCCATCTGACGCCTGACGACGCATTAAACCCAATAAATCTGATCCACCAGTCATCAGCAGCACCTCAGGCTTTTATTTTGACAGGCTGATATCATCGGTGTGTGTGCCGTTGCAACATGTGAGGAAGGGTTGTCCTGGCAACCAGCTGAGACAACATCAAAACAACGTCAATCACGAAGGAGGGGCAGCGTAAAGTATGAGACGCGCACACACAGACACACAGTGCTGGAACCGTGGGAAGTTCACAGAGTGACACCAGGGACCTGTCGCACACGCACGCAGGCGGCGTGAGGCCAGGCTGCGGTTTCTGAAGAGTGAAGGAGGCGTAACGGCCAACAGGAGGACACAACAACACCAGGACAGGTTGCCATAATAACTCGGACCAGCTGTCTCCACAAGCATTACCCTCCCGTTTGTGTCCATGAAACTCGCTGCAGAGCAGGCAGGCATGATGATGTCATCAAGTCAAAGTTTGTTTCTATAACAGACTAAAGTGATTTACAAAACATCTAACCCATCAGAATTAAAGCAGAAACAAGCTGGAGGTCTATAGATTCAGAAACATGAAAAGAAGAATGAGAGACGAAGCAAAGTAGAAATTACACTGAAATGGGGGGTTAGGGTTAAATAAATGACCCACCCAGAGAAAATGAAGCAAAACTTAAATGTATTTAATCATAAAGTTAACTTGTGTTACAGTCAAAGAACAGGGACGTTTTTGCGAATTAAAGGAAACTATTTTATTGCAACATGTAATTTACCTCATTTGGTTTTTCTTTGTTCAGCTCCATGAGGGGGTAATCGTTTTGTTAACTAAACGGGGGCACAGCAAGAAATATATATTTTTGTTTGGGCGTTAAACCCTTTGGCTTTGGTCATGTTTCCATTCACTGATAAACTGTTGAAAAACAGCAACTTAGACAAGCAGCTACTGCAGACCTACAGGCCCATCCCAACCCTCACATTCATGAGTGGCATCATTGAAAAAGTTCTGTTGCAACATTAACAGTCTTTCCTAACAATGACCAGCTGCACAGGGTGCGGTGTTTACCACAGTATACAGACCGCCATTATCTAAGTGTTCAATAACATTAAAGGAATAGTACACCCAAAACATGATTAGCCTTCATTTTCTACTCACCCCCATGCTGAAC